GATGGAAAAGGCTCGTGATAGGGGCTTCTTGCAGTTCTTGATGAACACAGAGTTCCATGAGTCTGGCCCTGGGGCAGAGTGCATGGGCATGTCATTTATCGCCTGTTCGAAGTCATATTGGCGTCAGGATAACATCGGATAGGCTTGTGTTAATCAAATTTTGTGGCTCTCTCATAAAAAATTCATTTTGATCTTCGACTCTCAGTCTGGTTAGCGGCTTGCTAAAAACTGAGTCATATTGGGACTTGAGTAGCTCACTCATTTCCTTGCTGTCATCTGTGTAGGACCCATCTGTTTTATGTAGGGGCCCAATACTGGGCGTTGTTCTCGATTTTGATTTGGCATAGGAGAAGAAATACTTTGGGTTTCTTTCGATTTCATTTTATAGCTTTTAGTTCTTCCCGTGATTCCTGACTCCTAAAGGATTCTTTTAGCTTAAGTTCGATGCTTGCTATTTCTCTGACCAGTGTCTCCCTGCGCATTTCAGATATATTGACCTCTTTTAGCCGCTCTGTTATTCTTTTTCCGTCGCCTGTAAAGGGAGCGCCTGTCTCTTTTCTATTTTACATCTACTCCTCCTTTTCTTAGAGGAATAAGCCTTGTGCATACATCGAGTGCCACCGATTAATCTGTTCTAGGCATAAGTTTGGGTCTGTGTGCTTAGTATATCTTCCCAGCTTATATCGGTTAGGACTTGGTTTACTTGGTCCCACTTTATGTTTTTGTTATTGAAGTTGAATTTGGTGAATGCTCCCTCGTGACTAGTCTCATTTTGTCGGTCTAGGGCTCCTCGCATACATGTCTGAACCTCAATTATGTTGTGATCTGAGTATATTGTTTTTGATATGGTGACATTTCTTATCAGATCATCATTGTTAGTGAATATGAGGTCTAGTGTATTCTCCAGTCTAGTAGGCTCTATTATTTGCTGGTTTAAATTGAATTTTGTGCAGAGATTTAAAAGCTCGTGTGAGTGTGAGTTTTCATCAGAGCTGCCTCCTGTTTAGTATAGAATAATTACAGTTTTGAATTACTTTACAAAATTACAATATTATAATGGAACAATTTTAACAATTTACAATATGTATAAAGTATTACAATTGAGTATTTAAAGCGATGAAATTTGAACATTCTAATTTTGAAGTAATTACAGTATTACAACAGAGCAATTTTAAAAATTTACAATATTAAGTATTACAATTTAGTATTCAAAACAATGAAATTTGAACATCCTAATTTTGAAGTAATGAGTACATGGTTGAGCAATCCTCAGCACAATATAATGAAATTGAGACATTATTGAAATTTTTTGTGTGGGTTTTTTGAGTAACTGTAGGTATTAAGTACAATTTAAATGTCGGGTAATTTTGGGCGATGATAGATTTCTAAGTAGGGTCTTAAAACTGATCTGCGGGCAGCAGGGGTCCTTAGTGTGTTCTGGTAATTAATTCCAGATCTTCGGGCGCTTTACGGCTGAATATGTATGTCATTGAGTCAAGTAAGCCTGTATACTTTGTACATGTACAGTGGACCCCCGGTTAACGATATTTTTTCACTCCAGAAGTATTTTTCAGGTGCCAGTACTGACCGAATTTTTTCCCAAAGAAATATTGGGGAAGTAATTAGTCCATTCCTTTCCCCCCAAAACATACACATACAAACGCACTTACATAAATAAAACTTACATAATTGGTCGCATTCGGGGGTGTTTCGTATGCGGGGGTCCACTGTACTTTAGAAATAAAGATATTATTATTATTATTATTATTATTATTATTATTATTATTATTATTATTATTATTATTAGCTGATGAAGCAATTCTTTAAGGGACCTTGGACAAAGATGGAAAATTGCTTCAAATACATTTGTAAAGTATTTCCAGACTAAGTATGGAAAAACTGAAAGTTGGACTCTTTGATGGTCCTCAAATTTGAAAGCTTATCAAGGATTCTAATTTCACACAATGTGTGAATTGTGTTGAAGTTTCTGCATGGTGCAGCTATGTGTCAGTTGTCAAGAACTTCTCGGGAAATCATAAAGCAGAGAATTATGAAGAACTGGTGCAAAACATGCTGACAAGCTTTAAGAATTTAGGTACTAATATGAGCACAAAAGTACACTTTCTCCATAGCCACCTTGATAGATTTCCACATAATTTTGGGTGAGGTCAGTGAGGAACAAGGTGAGAGGTTCCAGCAAGATATAAAGGTGATGGAGGAAAGGTATCAAGGCAGACGAGACACACATGATGGCAGACTATTGCTGGAGCCTGCAACGGGATTGTGCTGATGACCAACACAGAAGAAAATCATATAAACAAAGTTTCCATATACAGAATTAGTGGTATCTGAATTATCTTACTATGTTAAACCTGTTATTAAATAGAATGAAGTGCTAGTATGTATTACGGATTTGACTTTGCATGAAACTATAAAATAATTTCAATGCAATTTTGTCAGTTAGCCCTGCCTAATCAATATATTTTTCTCGTCTTTTATGTTTTTCAATGTGATACCAAATTTATTAAAAACTAGAGCCAATCAAACAAAACCAATGATATATTTGGGATCAGCACCACAAACTTACCCTAAAATCGGTGTAATATCATTGGCCAGAAAATGAGTGTTGACCAATGAATGTATTAAGTCTAGGATTATATAATCTACTAAGTGCTGGGACTGTTAATGTCACAGATCATTTGGGGAATGGATAGTAATGGGATTGATTGGAATAGGGAAAGGTGACTCCAATTTACCAGATCCAGAGCCCTTTACCAGCATGTTTTTTTTTTTTATTATTATCACACTGGCTGATTCCCACCAAGGCAGGGTGGCCCGAAAAAGAAAAACTTTCACAATCATTCACTCCATCACTCTTGCCAGAAGGGTGCTTTACACTACAGTTTTTAAACTGCAACATTAACACCCCTCCTTCATGTTGTTGCTGTGAATGTGATATGAAGGAAACATGAAGGAAGAAATGCAATTCTGCTGTACACAGCAGATGAACATCCCTGCTGGAAGTTAGGGATGTCAGTCTGAACCTTCTTTAATTTACATAATTTCACTAGATCCTTCATCAGTAAGCCACGAGTGTTGTAAGAGGTGACCTAAATCCTGGGAGCACAGGGATAGTGACCCCTTCTCCTGTATAAATTACTACACAGTGCTTCATGAACTAGCTAGGTGAGTGAGGACTCTCATCTAGGTAGTCCATGCGTCGCAGCTGTCCAGGTGAATGCTATTACTGGGCACAGATTTGTGTGTGTCCTCTTCAGTAATAACTTCTACCTGGTCTTGTTGTGTATATTTCTTGTACATTTTTTTTGTCTAAGGGCAAAGTGTGATGTAAATATTCTGCAGAGAATTTGGAGTGTGGAAATTAGGTGTGGAGTTACTAAAATTATTAGTCAGAGGGCTGAAAAGAGGTTGTTGGGGTGGTTTGGCCCATTTCGAGAGAATGGATCAAAGTAGAATGAATTGGAGAGCGTATAAATCTGTAGGGGAAGGAAGGCAGGGTAGGGGTCGTCCTCAGAAAGGTTGGAGGGAGCGGTTAAGGAGGTTTTGTGGGTGAGAGGCTTGGACTTTTCCCGCATGTGTGAGTGTGTTAGATAGGAGTGAATGGAGACAATGGTTTTTGGGACCTGACGAGCTGTTGGGGTGTGAGCAGGGTAATATTTTGTGAAGGGATTCAGAGAAACCGGGTTTTTTTTATATAGCCGGACTTGAGTACTGGAAATGGGAAGTACAACGCCTGCCCTTTAAAGAAAGGTTTTGGGATATGGCAGTTTGTAGGGGTAAGCTATATATTCTTTATACACCTCAACCATCCGACAGACCGCTTGACATACGACCAATCGACTTACGACCTTGTTTTCTATGCCAAATTTCTGGGAAATAAACAACTTTGTGTTTGTACACAGTTTTATCATAAACCTTACAGTATAAAATACAGTACTAACAACATAAAAAGTAAAGTAAAAAATGAAATACCAAAATAAAACAATAAAATAAAGTCATTACAAAATGTGATGTTGATATTCATGGTAAGGTTCGACTTACGTCCATTTCGACTTAAAGATTGGTTTGTCAGAACCGAACTCGGTCGTAAGTCGGATGGTACCTGTATATGCTTCTAAACTGTTGTATCTGGGGATCTCTGCAAAGACAGTGATTGTGTGTGAGTGAGGTGAAAGTGTTGAATGATGAAAGAATTTTCTTTTTGGGGAATTTCTTTCTTTTTGGGTCACCCTGCCTCGGTGGGAGACAGCTGGTGAGCTGAAAAAAAATTCATTAGCACAATTAAAAAAATATTTCAAGTTTACCATACCCCCGGCCGGGATTGAACCCGCGGTCATAGAGTTTCAAAACTCCAGCCCGTCGCGTTAGCCACTAGACCAGCTAGCCACAATAAGATTCATCCAACTAGTATATTTCTACACCATAGAAAGTTAGCACAGGCACCTCTGTGGTCACAGTGGTGCCTGTGCAACCTTCCTATGGTGTAGAAATATACCTAGTTGGATGAATCTTATCTGGCTAGTGGTCTAGTGGCTAACACGACGGTCTGGAGTTTTGAGACTCTCTGACCGCGGGTTCAATCCCGGCCGGGGTATGGTTTGTTTGCAATCGTGTCATTACGATTTCTTGAGTCATTTCAAGTTTACTATATAACAGTAATATAAAAGTAAACAGTTAATACTAAAGCCATTTCATAGTAAAAGTTCTATGTCCTCCTTCAATTATATTTTATGTGAATTTGGTATTACATGAGCCCCATTTCTATCAGTAATTTCTTATGTGCAATATATATCTTTGTAGTACACAGTGTTGAGTAAAAATTTTATTAAAGATTCTTTTATGATGAATTAAGTGTTGATGATGAAAGTAGAGCAATTATCATGGGCCTGGAGCACACCTGCTGTACAAAGCCAGGGACACCTGTACTCTACAAGTATGAATCATCCAGAAGTATGGTTAGTTTGGTTTGCTTTTTAATGTTATTTATCGCTCATTTTCCGTAAGAAAGCAATTCCCATTACTAACTGCCTCCTCCACGCTGAGAAGTTGGTTTAGCATTATAATGTCTGCCCCTGTGACTTGTAGGTCCGTAGTACTCATATGTAGATGGAGGTGCAAATTCACTCTGTCTCTCTTCACTGTGATAGTCTGTCTTGTTGTCATCTTGGGTAGTTGTTTGCAGGATTTGAATCTTGTGGTTGATCATAGTTTAACCAGTTTTCTGGTTGTGAATCAAGAGATTTGGAGGAATAGTCATGGGATGTACTGAATGAGGGGCGAAATCCATGTGACTTTTGCTGTCTGCCTTTAAATTTTTTATTGGAGCTATAGGAAAGACGGTGGAGCAAATTCATTATTCTCTGATTTCTTTGACGATTGACCCATTCTTCTTGTGTCAGAGTTGTTGATACCCCTTCCTTTCCTACATCCCATTCTCTAACAGGTTTCTTGTCTTCGGATTTTTCTTCTGGTATTGCTAATGGTGGTGGTGGTGGTGGTGGAGGGCCAATCAAATTATTGTCTTCGTCATCTGAGACAGGTGGCGTCTTCAGTGTATCATCTGTAAATTGTGGAAAAATACATGAAAAGACTGCATTTTTAAAAAAACATAAATGTATATAAAATACACTGATAACCAGCACATAGCACAAAGAAGCTTATGACAATATTTCAATCTGACTTGGACCATTAACAGGTCGTGTGTGCAGGTTATGTGTGTACTGTTCCAGTCACGGTATTGTGCCATTCTATTCTTTAATATGTGTAAATCCCTTCCCATGTATAAATTAATAAATGTAAAAAAAAGAAACACTTGTTTCTTCTTTTTTGGGTCACCATGCCTCAGTGGGACATGGCTCGGTTAAAAAAAAGTGGGTAAATGAAAAAAAGAACTCAAATATTTATGTCTTGCCTGATTGTTTTTATTTATAGTTACTTATGTCCTAGGTAGTTACTTATGTCCTAGGTAGCAGGTTGGTAGACAGCAACCACCCAGGGAGGTACTACTGTCCTGCCAAGTGAGTGTAAAATGAAAGCCTGTAATTGTTTTACATGATGGTAGGATTGCTGGTGTCCTTTTTTGTCTCATGAACATGCAAGATTTCAGGTACCTGCCTGGAGTCCACCTGGAGGGTATTCCGGGGATCAATGCCCCCGCGGCCCAGTCCACGACCAGGCCTCCTAGTGGATCAGGGCCTGATCAACCAGGCTGTTACTGCTGGCCGCACGTAGTCCAATGTACGAACCACAGCCCGGCTGATCTGGCACCGACTTCAAGTATCTGTCCAGCTCCCTCTTCAAGGCAGCCAGGGCCCTATTGGTATTTCCCCTTATGCATGGTGGGAGGCTGTTGAACAGTCTTGGGTCCCAGACACTTATGGTGTTTTCTCTTAGTGTACCAATGGTGCCCCTGCTTTTCACTGCTGGGTATTTTGCACCACCTGCCCAGTCTTTTACTTTTGTAGGGAGTGATTTCTGTGTGCAGATTTGGGACCATTCCTTCTAGGATTTTCCAAGTGTAGATTATGATATATCTCTCTCACCTGCGTTTACCTGGAGTTTACCTGGAGAGAGTTCTGGGGGTCAACGCCCCCGCGGCCCGGTCTGTGACCAGGCCTCCTTAGGTCCGTGTCCCAGGATGCGACCCACACCAGTCGACTAACACCCAGGTACCCATTTTACTGATGGGGAACATAGACAACAGGTTGAAAGAAACACGTCCAATGTTTCTACTCTGGCTGGGAATCGAACCCAGGCCCTCGCCGTGTGAAGCGAGAGCGTTAACCACCAGGCCACCAGAGCCAATGAGTACAAGTCAAGTGCTTCCAAGCGTTCCCAGTAGTTGAGGTATTTGACAGAACATATGCAGTAAATGCTCTCTGAACACACTCTAGATCTGCAATTTCACCTACATTGAACAGAGATGTTAATGAACAGCAATATTCCAGCTTAGAGAGAACAAGTGATTTGAAAAGGATCATCACTGGCTTGGCATCTCTTGTTTTCAACATTCTTATTACCCATCCTATCATTTTCTTTGCAGTTGTGATCACGGCATTGTTATGATCCATGAAAGTGAGATCCTCAGATATTACCACTCCCAGGTCCCTCACATTACTTTTCCACTCATCAGAGTTTGTAGTATACTGTGGACCCCCGCCTTACGATGGCATCGCGTTACATTAAATCCGCAATGCAATACATTACATTCTAATGCAAAAATTTTGCCTCGCCTCACGCAATTCGTCTGGGACGCATCCCACACGTGGCCTCAGCTGGCCCGTGGGTGCCAGTGTTTACAAGCCAGCCAGTGCGGTCGCATCTAAGCATACATTCGGTACATTTCACCTTATCCCAGTGTTTTTTGTGCTTGTAACTGCAAAATAAGTCACCATGGGCCCCAAGAAAGCTTCTAGTCCCAAACCCCTGTGGTAAAAAAGGTGAAAATTACTATGGAAATGAAGAAAGAGATAATTGTTAAGTATGAAAGTGGAGTGCATGTCTCGGAGCTGGCCAGGTTGTATACCAAACCCCAATCAACCATCGCTACTATCGTGGCTGTTCTTGCAAAAGGTGAAAGTTTGTTTTTGAAACAGAGATCGCAAGTACTCAAAGATGTTGAGAGGCTGTTATTGGTATGGATAAACGAAAACAGATAGCAGGAGATACCATCTCTCAAGCGTTCATATGTGAAAAGGCTAGGAAGTTGCATGAGGATTTAATTAGAAAAATGCCTGCAATTAGTGGTGATGTGAGTGAATTTAAGGCCAGCAAAGGTTGGTTTGAGAGATTTAAGAATCGTAGTGGCATACATAGCGTGATAAGACACGGTGAGGCTGCCAGTTCAGACCACAAAGCGGCTGAAAAATATGTGCAGGAATTCAAGGAGTACAAAGAGGCTAAAGGATTGAAACCTGAACAAGTGTTTAATTGTGACTAAACAGGCCTGTTTTGGAACTAAATGCCAAACAGGACCTACATTACTCAGGAGGAAAAGGCACTCCCAGGACATACACCTATGAAAGACAGGCTTACTCTCATGATGTGTGCTAATGCTAGTGGTGATTGCAAAGTGAAGCCTTTATTGGTGTATCACTCTGAAACTCCCAGAGCGTTCAGGCAAAACAATGTCGTCAAGGCTAATTCGTGTGTGCTGTGGAGGGCAAACAGTAAGACATGGGTCACTAGGGACTTTTTCTATGACTGGTTACACCATGCATTTGCCCCCACTGTGAAAAATTACCTAATGGAAAATAAATTGGACCTTAAGTGCCTCCTAGTCATCATTCAGAGTTGGCAGAACAACTTTCTGGGGACATGAGCTTCATTAAGATCAAGTTTTTACCTCCTAATACCACTCCTCTCCTGCAGCCCATGGACCAACAGGTCATTTCAAACTTCAAAAAACTCTACACAAAAGCTGTTTCAAAAGTTCTCTGAAGTGACCTCAGACACTCGACTGACTCTAAGAGAGTTTTTGGAAAGATCACTTTAGTATCCTCAGTTGTGTAAACTTTATAGTTAAGGTTTGGGAGGGAGTGACTAAGAGGACCTTGAGCTCTGCTTGGAAGAAACTGTTGCCAGAATGTGTAGACCAAAGGGATTTTGAAGGGTTTGAGGCTAACCCTGAAAAGCATATGCCAGTTGTGGAATCAATTGTGGCAAATTGGGGAAGTCCTTGGGGTTGGAGGTTAGTGGGGAGGATGTGGAAGAGTTGGTGGAGGAGGGCAATGAAGAACTAACCACCCGATGATCTGCAAGATCATCTTCAACAGCAAGAGGCCAGACCTGAGGAAACTGCTTCAGAGGAGGGGAGAGAGAAATTGAAGAAGTTGTCTACTTCAAAGATTAAGGAAATTTGTGCAAAGTGGCTTGAAGTGCAAACCTTTATGGATGAAAATCACCCTCAGACAGCTACTGCAAGCCATACTGGTGACTATTACAATGACAATGTTGTGAACCACTTTAGACAAATCATGAAGGAACGAGAGGTACAGAGCTCTGTGGACTGATTTGTTGTGTGACAGAGGTCCAGTGACTCAAGCTGGTCCTAGTGGCATTAAAAGAAGAAGGATGTAACCCTGGAAAGGACTTGCTACCTCAAGTCCTAATGGAAGGGGATTCCCCTTCTAAACAATAACAACTTCCACACTCTCCCCTCCTCCCATCCCATCAATCATCACCAGATCTTCAATAAAGGTAAGTGTCATGTATTCTATTCTTAGTAGAGTATTAACTGTGCATGTCTTCTTCAGTTTGTGTGTATTAAAATTAATATTTCATGTGGTAAAAAAATTTTTTTTCATACTTTTGGGTGTCTTGCATGGATTAATTTGATTTCCAAATTATTTCTTATGGGGAAATTAATTCGCCATATGATAATTTCGGCATACGATGAGCTCTCAGGAACGGATTAATATCGTAAGGCAGGGGTCCACTGTACTCAATTCTAGTTATTATCTCCAGGTTTCCATAACGGAGTAGTTGGAATTTGTCTCCAATGAGCATCACATGGTTTTCCGCTGCCCATTGGAAAACTTGGTTTATTTTCTTCTTGGAGGTTAACCGTGTCCTCAATAGGTGACAGTCTCATGCTGATCCAAGTATCATCTGCAAAGGATGACACAGTGCTGTGGATTACATCTCTGTCTATGTCTGATATGAGGATGAGGAACAAGATGAATGCGAGTACTGTACCTTGTGGAACAGCTTTTCACTGTGGCAGCCTCCAATTTAACTCTGTTGACCACTACTCTTGTGTTCGAATGGTTAGAAAGTCAAAGATCCATCTCTCCACTTTGCCAGTTATTCCTTTAGCATGTATTTTATGCGCTATCACGCTTGTGATCGCACTTGTCAAATGCTTTTGCAAAGTCTATGTATATTACATCTGCATTCTGTGTTTCTTCCAGTGCATCCAAGACTATATCATAGTGATCCAGTAGTTGTGAGAGCAGGAGCGACCTGCTCTGAACTCATGTTGCCCTGGATTGTGCGGTTTTTGGGAATCCAAGTGGTTTGCTATCCTGCTTCTTAGCACTCTTTCAAAGATTTTTATGATTTGGGACGTTAGAGTTAGAGCTATTGGTCTAGTTCTTAGCTAATGCTTTGCTGCCAGCATAAACAAAGCCACACTGATGATGTGTCAACCACTCCTTCGTATTTTTGTACAATTTCCTTCTTCAATTCTATCGTATTTATTATTATAATTATTATTATTATTACTGTACTACTATTGTTATTACTAGCAGTAGTAGAAATGTTGATTCTTTTCTGTGTTCAAGAGTCAACACATGATGTCACCGTCCAATACCTGTGTGAATAGCCATTCCAATATGCAGTCATGAATGGGTTTACATTATTTATACTGTAGTTTAATAGCAAATAATGAACAAACAAAACACTCACCACACAGTGGTGGGAGGGCTGGCTGCCAGTTGGGGGGGGTCGGAGGGAGGGTAGTAGGGACTCGCAGTGGTTGAGGAAGTTGAGGCAGCGGTGGAGGCAGTGGTATTTAATAACATACATGTTATTAAACCATAACATGTATGTATTTAGTACAATTTACGACATTTTCATGTATTTTATGATTGTTCATGGTTCAACAAGTTAAGGAAGAAGTATTGTATTATATTTCCCTACAATATATTGGGACACCAAACATTCGTGATTTTTCAACATTCACGAGGCTCTTGATCCCCTAACCCTCGCGAATGTTGAGGGAGACCTGTACATCATAATTTGTTTAGTTTAGCAATGTGAATGCTTTTGTTTTGATGCTTGGAAAAGCACAGGCTGCATGTGATCCTGGATTTCCTTCCAAGGGATTTTTTTTCATTTCCCACAGGTATGCTGTACTGACATCCTGCCCGTATCCTACTTCACTCTGTATGCCATGAAAAGAACTGATTTCCACTTTACCTTTCTCTGCACTGGTGACGGTCACACTAGGTCACACTACACATGCATGAACAAGCATATACATATATACACACCCCTCTGGATTTTCTTCTATTTTTCTTACTAGTTCTTGTTCTTGTTTAATTCCTCTTATCTCCATGGGGAAGTGGAACAGAATTCTTTCTCCATAAGTCATGCATGTCGTAAGAGGGGACTAATATGCCAGGAGCAAGGGGCTAGTAACCCCTTCTCCTGTATATACAGTGGACCCCCGGTTTACGATATTATTTCATTCCAGAAGTATGTTCAGGTGCCAGTACTGACCGAATTTGTTCCCCTAAGGAATATTGTGATTAGAATTAGTCCATTTCAGACCCCCAACATTTCACATACAAACGCACTTACAAATTGGTCACATTAGGAGCTGATCGTAAACCGGGGGTCCACTGTATTACTAAATTTTAAAAGAGAAACTTTTGTTTGTTTTTTTGGGGCTACCCTGCTTCAGTGGGATATGGCCACCATGTGTTAATGCAACTGCTTCAGTGGGATATGGCCACCATGTGTTAATGCAACTGCTTCAGTGGGATATGGCCACCATGTGTTAATGCAACTGCTTCAGTGGGATATGGCCACCATGTGTTAATGCAACTGCCTCCCTTGCAGTTTGTATATGCATTTTATAATGTTCTTAAAAGTTTTGATAAAATGAATACTAGAGGTGCTTTTTTAGGCATTCTATATCATGAATATATTGTAAAATAAACAGTGAGGTATATTCACAGCAATATCTGTAAAAATTTAATGGATCAATTTATGACAGTTATTTAAAAATACCTTTAATGGGCAACCCCATCTTGAGTCTCTTCCTCTGGCGAACTTTTTCAAGCCTCGACTGTAACATCTTTTGCTGTTTAGCTGCACCAGCAGCTTTTGCAGCCTCCTTTTGCTGTGTCTCCCTTCGCAGCTCTTTTAGTAAATCCATTTGCTCCTGTCTCTCTTTCTCATCACTGGAGAATTTCATGAAGCCGGCGCCGTGTGTTCGTGCCTCTGTTGGACAAATATTTTTATAGTTATTTTTTCATTATTCAATAATCTTACACAGCATTTACTTCAGTAATATAATGATTAAACAGCTAAGGTATTCAATAAATTCATACAGCTAGGGCTAGATTAGTGTAAATAATGAATCCCGTCGAGCGGTCTCATTATTCAAATTTGTACTATTCGAATTATATGTAATTTTTGCACATAATACAGGAAATCTTTAACTTAAGAACATGTTGGGGACCTTCTGTATTGTGTATAATAATGATATTACACAATAATGATATAATAATAATATTACACACAATAATGATATTACACACAATAATGATATAATAATAATATTACACACAATAATGATATAATAATAATATTACACACAATAATGATATAATAATGATATTACACACAATAATGATATAATAATAATATTACACACAATAATGATATAATAATAATATTACACATGACACGGAAGATTCTCAATATGTTTGTAAGTTGAGGACTCACTGTAATTTATTCTGGAGTAAATCACAATTTGCAGTATTCTACCTCACACTACTGGAGTTTACCTGGAGAGAGTTTCGGGGGTCAACGCCCCCGCGGCCCGGTCTGTGACCAGGCCTCCTGGTGGATCAAGCCTGATCAACCAGGCTGTTGCTGCTGGCTGCACGCAAACCAACGTACGAGCCACAGCCCGGCTGATCAAGACACGACTGTGTTATTTACCTACCATCAAACAACAGATCTTGATAATGCAGGTTCTTCTTAAGGGCATTAACTTCTTCCACTGATTCCCACTTCTGTCGTTGAATCTGCCGACGAACGTCTTCAGAGAGGAGATCCGGTTGTTCCAAAGTGTCCTCCTATTGGATGACATTAAATGACATCATTATCGAGTTTTTATGTCCGTAATGCATAGATGTACGTACTAAACCTGAATAGGAAGTGCATCTGTCTCATGCTCAGTAAACGGAGGATCAAGCCTCCACCATGTCTTGCACTGAATGACCCCTATGGGTTTAGCACTTTAAATGAATTATTAAAAAAAATGATGCAGCATCTTGATGAGATGGAAAAATAAAACACAAATACAGTGGACCCCCGGTTAACGATATTTTTTCACTCCATAAGTATGTTCAGGTGCCAGTACTGACCGAATTTGTTCCCATAAGGAATATTGTGAAGTAGATTAGTCCATTTCAGACCCCCAAACATACACGTACAAACGCACTTACATAAATACACTTACATAATTGGTCGCATTCGGAGGTGATCGTTATGCGGGGGTCCACTGTACAGTATAATGCGATTCTTTAATGAGTACGTTTCTCCCATACAGCGGACTTTATCAAGTAACAAAATATCTATTTTTGCATCGTGTTGATATTTTATACCATTTATCTTCTTGATGAGTTATTAAGCTCAGGCTTCAGAAAGTACTATTATCACAGGTATCATAAAGCTCTAAGGTAATGGCAAGTAATCTTTTTAATTCAAGGAAGTGGATGCTAGTTCCAGTTCCTTAAATCAGAAATCCTTCATAGGAACCAAACAGTACCTGATCAGCCAGGTTGTGGTTCGTACATTGGTTTACATGTAGCTAGCAGTAACAGCCAGGTTCATCAGACCCTGATCCAACACTGAGCCTGGTCTCAGACTGGGCCACGGGGGTGTTGACCCCCAAAACCCTCTCCAGCTATACTCAAGGTAGATATAAGTAATTGACGTTTTTGCGTTATCCTAGGTAATTTACACATATGTTACTAGGTATGACATTTGTTTTTTATGTGTACTAAACTGTAAGTAAATAAACTTAACATATTTTCTGGCATATAAGGCATACAAGATGTGAAGAAGGAAATAATACAGAAGTATGAGAGTGGTGTGAGACTTGTTGAGCTTGCCAGGATGTATGGGAAAAACAAGTCGACCATCGGTTCTATCCTGGCAAAGAAAGAACAAATCAAGGAAGCTGATATTGCAAAATGTGTTAATATGTTAACCAAAAAAAGACCACAAACAATCGATCAGGTTCAGAAGTTGTTGCTGGTGTGGATCAAGGATAAAGAGATGGCAAGTGATAGTGTTTCAGAGACCATTATTTGCGAAAAGGCAAGGAAGTTGCATGTCGATCTGGTACAGAAAACTCCTGGAACCAGTGCTGATAGTGAATTTAACCCTTTCAGGGTTTTGGCCGTACTAGTACGGCTTAGGCGCCGGGGTTTTTGACGTACTAGTATGCATAAATTCTAGCGCCTTCAAATCTTGTGGGAAAAGGCTGGTAGGCCTAGATGTGAGAGAATGGGTCTGTGTGGTGGGTGTGCACAGTAGAAAAAAAATCTGAGACCCAGTGGTGCATTGTGGGAACGCTATTAGTACACCATTTCCACCATTCCTGGCGGTAAGAAGCTCCTCACTCCTCGGCGAATTGGGACACTTTTGTTCCCCAGTGACAGTTCGAATACAGATGGAAGTGCCAGTGAAGATGAGTTTCAAGGTTTTGGTGAGGTTTTGACTGAATCTAATTACCATAATATCGGTAATAGTGAGGAAAACCCAGATGACCCTCAGCCTTCCACCTCTGGTGCTGGGCCATCTTGTTCACACTCAGTTGTACCAGAATCAAGGAGGAAACTCCTATTTTCCCAAATCCCAGACTCAGATGTGAGCATTTGTGATGACAGTGATAGTGATTATGAACTACAAGCTCTTAAAATCAATTCCAGTAGTGATAGTGAAGTGGAATATTCCCCAGTGAAGTGTCAGTATATACGACGATATATGCGCTCTGGTAGTGTGCCATATGCTATTCCAAGGGGAAGAAGTACATCTCGGAGTACATCCCGTGGCTGTACAACAAGAACTGACAGTGAAAATGACGATGATACTGTTGCAATTGGGATGGAAAATGTGCATGGTGGTGGTAGTGGTGGTGTCGGCCATGAGGCACCAGCAGTGGGCCATGCTGCCACCCACGCTGCCACCCACGCCGCTGCCTCAGCTGATCTACAACAAAGGCCACCATCCCCCACCCACCCACCACACCAGCCTCCACAACCACAACCTCCACAACCACAACCACCTGTCATTGTCCAGTACCCACCAGCAGACCACACCTGGGATTGGCAGGAAGCTGTCAATTTTGTTACAAATCCCCACCAGTTTGATGAAAGCCAAAGTGGAATACAGCCATGTTGTACACTGGGAAACAATGCCAGTGAACTGGAATGTTCCCAGTTACTCTTTGACGAACCCCTGATGGAAAGTATTGTCATGGAAAGCAACACATACTACGAGTACACCATGGCAAACACAATATTTTCACCAAAATCACATCTACACCAGTGGAAGGAGACAACTGTGGCTGAGATGTATCTTTTCTTTGCCACAATAATGCTTATGCCACATGTGTATAAGCACAGTGTGAAATCATACTGGTCAACAGACCGCCTGATTGCAACCCCAGGTTTCAGTGATATAATGCCAGTGAATCGATTTGTGCTACTATTACGTATGCTTCACTTCTCAGACAAAACCAGACCTGACAGAAACAACAGGTTATATAACATTAGGCATGTGTTTGTGTATCTGCAAGAGAAATTCAGTATGTATTTTTATCCCTTCAGGAAGCTTGTAACTGATGAGTCTTTCATTCTGTTCAAAGGAAGACTCTCTTTCAAGCAGTACATACCAAGCAAGAGGAAACGCTTTGGTATAAAGTTGTTTGTGATTTGTGATTGTTACAGTGGTCTGGTATTGGATATTATTGTGTACACTGGAAGTTATACATTGCAAAATACCAGGAAGTTATTGGGCATCTCTGGTGATGTGGTTAGAAGAATGATAGAACCATATCTTGGTAAGGGGCATATACAGTGGACCCCCGGTTAATGATATTTTTTCATTCCAGAAGTATGTTCAGGTGCCAGTACTGACCGAATTTGTTCCCATAAGGAATATTGTGAAGTAGATTAGTCCATTTCAGACCCCCAAACATATACATACAAACGCACTTACATAAATACACTTACATAATTGGTCACATTGGGAGGTGATCGTTAAGCTTGGGTCCACTGTATTGTATACAGATAACTGGTACACAAGCCCCTTACTCAGTGATTTTTTGCTAGTGAACATGACAGATGTGGCAAAGGTTGGTTTGAGAGATTTAAGAATCGTAGTGCCATACATAGTGTGATAAGGCATGGTGAGGCTGCCAGTTTGGACCACAAAGCGGCTGAAAAATTTTATTTTATTTTTATTATCACACTGGCCGATTCCCACCAAGGCAGGGTGGCCCGAAAAAGAAAAACTTTCACCATCATTCACTCCATCACTGTCTTGCCAGAAGGGTGCTTTACACTACAGTTTTTAAACTGCAACATTAACACCCCTCCTTCAGAGTGCAGGCACTGTACTTCCCATCTCCAGGACTCAAGTCAGGCCTGCCGGTTTCCCTGAACCCCTTCATAAGTGTTACTTTGCTCACACTCCAACAGCACGTCAAGTATTAAAAACCATTCGTCCCATTCACTCCTATCAAACACGCTCACGGCACGCCTGCTGGAAGCCCAAAGCCCTCGCACACAAAACCTCCTTTACCCCCCTCCCTCCAACCTTTCCTAGGCCGACCCCTACCCCCGCCTTCCTTCCACTACAGACTGATACACTCTTGAAGTCATTCTGTTTCGCTCCATTCTCTCTACATGTCCGAACCACCTCAACAACCCTTCCTCAGCCCTCTGGACAACAGTTTTGGTAATCCCGCCCCCTCCTCCTAATTTCCAAACTACGAATTCTCTGCATTATATTCACACCAGACTTGCCCTCAGCATGCATCTCCACTGCCTCCCGCCTCTCCTCGCTGCAACATTCATCACCCAGCTTCACACCCATATAAAGTGTTGGGAAAACTATACCTCTAACATTCCCCTCTTTGCCTCCAAGGACAAAGTTTTTTTTGTCTCCACAGACTCCTAAGTGCACCACTTTACCCTTTCCCCCCCATCAATTCTATGATTCACCTCATCCTTCATAGACCCATCCGCTGACACGTCCACTCCCAAATATCTGAATACATTCACCTCCTCCATACTCTCTCCCTCCAATCTGATATCCAATCTTTCATCACCAATATTTTTGTTATCCTCATAACCTTTCTCTTTCCTGTATTCACTTTTAATTTTCTTCTTTTGCACACCCACAAAATTTATCCACCAATCTCTGCAACTTCTCTTCAGAATCTCCCAAGAGCACAGTGTCCCTCAGCAAAGAGCAACTGTACAACTCCCACTTTATGTGTGATTCCTTTTCTTTAACTTTCCACGCCTCTTGTCAAGACCCCGCATTTACTTCTCTTACAACCCCATCTATAAATATATTAAAACAAACCCCGGGGACATCACAAAAACCTTGTCTAAGGCCTACTTTTACTGGGAAAATAATTTCCCTCTTTCCTATGTACTCTAACTTGAGCCTCACTATCCCCCGTAAAAACTCTTCACTGCTTCAGTAACCTACCTCCTAAAAACCATACACCTGCAACAACTGCCACATTGCCCCCCCTTATCCACCCTGTCATACGCCTTTCCCAAATCCATAAATGCCACAAAGACCTCTTTAGCCTTATCTAAATACTGTTCACTTTTTATGTTTCACATTTTAAAAACCGCCACACACCCCCTACCTTTCCTAAAGCCTCCTTGTTCATCTGCTATCCATTCTCAGCTTTCTTTAATTCTTTCAATAATAACTCCCACCATACACTTTACCAGGTATCTCAACAACTTTTAAAA